TTTAAGTTTAATAATATAATTTTTTATAAAGATAATAATTAAGTATTCTTTTAGAACTTAATGATTATCCTAATTATATTTTAGATTTTGTATATTTAAAATGAGATGTTTATCTTGTATTTGATTATGTTTATTTGCAGTTAGTTACACTAATTCAAAGATAAAGCTTTAATAAGTTATACTTAAGCATAATCTACTTGTAATCTTCAATTTTAAGTAATATGCATCAATAAACAATACTTCATGCATAAAAGATAGTTTTAAGAGTTTCTATCAAATGCTTTATAATATAGTATAGATAAAGAGTGGCCGATTGAGAGAGACTACCGTATTTTTGGAGAAAGTTGTCAAGTGTGGTTAGCCACTTTTGCAGTGTTCATGGTTCGTTTGGAATATAAAATCTGAATCAAATATCAGTTTGATAATGCCAAACTTATGAACTCACTTCCATTTTAACTAGTTTAATCAGTTTCGGTCAAATTGTAATGTTTTTATCTGATTTTATTGTTGTTTTTTTACTGATAGTGATTTAATTAAATTATTAATATTCAAAAACTCTTAAAATAATACATAATTTAAAAATATATAATAGACAATTACATGCATTCGAATCCATATAAAAAAAACAGAAAGGTTCAATTTTTAGTATTTTTACGTTGGCTCTTAATTTTTTCTAAAGTTCATTCAAGCACTACTTTAGATTTTCAATATCTTACAAATGATCGATCTTAATTAAAACGAATCAAAACCAACCAATTTTGTTCATTTTAATTCCATTCTGTTTAACGATATTTATAATTTTATTTGGACCCATAAATTATAAACAACGTGATTTGTTATCCCCGTTTAAAGCATTACGAACGAGTGGAACAAATTATGGGTGATTTGTTATCCCCGTTTAAAACGTTACGAAGAAGTGGAACAAATTATTGATGATGGTATTTTGAACGTGGAACAACGTAATGTCTTAGTCAAACATGCGTAATAAAACAAACTCATCAATGCTCTCTCACTTGGAATATATTTCACCAACCACCACATGACCACTTCCTCTACACGACATCGGAGGAATTTCCCGATTAAACAGAAATCCCGATTTTATCTATACTATATTATAAAGCATTTGACAAAAACTCTTAAAAATCATTTTTTATGCATAAAGTACTGTTTATTAATGCATGTTACTTAAAACTCAATATTACAAGTAGATTGTGCGTAAGTATAACTTATTAAAGCTCCATATCTGAATTCGTGTAACTAACTGCAGATAAACATAATCAAATATAGAATAAACATCTCATTTTAAATATAAAAAATTTAAAATATAATTATTGAGTTATAACAGAATACTTAATTATTATCTTTATAAAATGTTATATTATTAAACCAAAAATAAATTATTTYATTATTAAACTTAAATTAAGTTATAATAAAAAAATAAATTAAAGAAATTACATAAAAATGAGAACTTTTAAATAGTTGATTTGATATTAATATTGATATTTGGTTTTCAAAACTTTATAATATTTTCAAATTTATATTTTATTTAAAAATAAAATCATTATTGCTTTCTTAAAAACGCATAAAATCGTATTATAACATCGACAAAAACAAAAAAAATAAAATAAAACATTAAAATCCAGATGTATCTCGCTACATTGCGCGATTACCTTTCTAGTTTATTCTCAATACCTCCGCTTAAACAGAATTCTACTATTTCTTAATTATTTTATAAAATAAATAAACCATCAATAAGTAACATTTATTTATAGTTTTATAATTAAAAATAATAAGAGATTTAATACTCAAATTATTAAAAACGGTTAAATAAAAAAAATCAATATGTATCATATAATGATATGGAAATGAATTAGGGCAAATTGCATGAAAAAAGTAACGTGTTTTAACTTGATTTCTAATTTTGGTAACATAGTTTCAAAATTTCCAATACGATATCTAAGATGTAAAGTTTCAAACATTGAAGAACCTGGATAACGGTTGAAGTATTAACTGATTACCATGCTGATGTGGCAAGTGATGTGATGTCCAACTCAATATTATTTGTTATTCAACCCAATTTCATCTCATCACTCGCCACATCAACATGGTAATCGGTTAATGTTTCAACCGATTACCTGAGTACTTAAATTTACAACTTTATATCTTAAATACCAAAATAAAAGTTGTAAGATTACGTTCTACAAAATAAGATTTTTCATGCAATTTGTGAAATGAATTACAATAAACGATGATATGATAAAAGTGGGAAATGAAATGGTCAAAGGTGAGCAGCACCTTAAAGAAAATGGAGAATTGACTTGTAAAGTAAGAAGTCAATTCGTTTAGCTTTTTGGTCAAGTAACAAAACTGAGTTTGAAACTTTCATTCACTAATGAAGCCATGAATGAAATGCCATCAATTATGGTCGTCTGTTTTTTTTTTAAATTAATATAATTCATTATTTTTTAATTATAAAATAATAAATAAATGAATCAAACAAAAATAGTTATATATTTATATTTCAGCAACATTTAATTTAAAAATATATAATGAATTTACGTGATTAATTAGTTGTATAGTATATGTCTTATTTACGACGTATAATTAAGTTTTTATATCTTTTTTTTAATAAATAAATTTAAAAATTAAAAAAAAAACTGAATAAATAAATCTTTGAACATATTAAAATCAAACAAATAAATTTTTATAACTTGCTAAAAATAAAATTAAAAAAAACTCATCAACTTTTATATTTTGAACGAATAAATTACTAAACGTTATTTGAAGAGAAAAAAAAAACATAAACCCAAAAAACACTTCGGTTTAATGTTTAATAAAATTTTGTATTTTATAATATGCTAATGATACGTGTTATACAGGAATACACTAAGGAGTATGTAAATCTATAGGGTCGTATACAAATAATACGTTTGCCTCCATTTGTAAAAACCCTGTTTAAATCAAGTTGATTGTAAAAATACTTATTCTTGGAGGACAATTATGAAAATATGTGTTAATATTTACAAGATGTTATTGTAAATACGTATAATTATATTAAAGTTTAGGATAATTATATATATGTCATAGATAATTACTAGTTTTTATTTTTAATTGTAGTTTATTTATAATTTAGACCAAATCAATTATAATTGATTGAGCATGTAGATTTAGCATTCATAAAATAATACATAAAAGAAATATTTAGATCTAGGCTTTTGGGCTAGCACCCGGTGGAAGCGTATAGCGTGTTCGTGTGTGACTCACCGATACAGGAAAACTCTGTTGGTTTCTAAGTGCTCTGTCAAATCCTCGATAAATGCTAAACGAGACAATTCTAAACACCATATGGTGTGGTTAACTTTAATTAAATGCATCACTGGATCCGAATTGAGTTTTAATCTTGATTTTTTTTATCTTCTTTGTACCAATTTTTTTATTTCCGTTACATTCAACGGTTACAAAACTTATAAACCCAACAAAAATAACAAAAAACAATACAGATATGAAATGTGAATCCAATTAAAATAATTGAAAC